ATCCAAACTTCTAACAGAGACATGGTAGGAGCTTGTAAACTTTGTAAACTTCTGCAACTGAACCCTAAATCCCAAACCCTAAACCCCTAAACCCCTAAAACCCTGAACCCGAAACCCTAAACCTAAACCCCTAAACCCTAAACCCCTAAACCCTAAACCCTAAACCCTAAATCCCTAAACCCTAAATCCCTAAACCCTAAACCCTAGACCATCAACTAAACCTCTAAAGGCGGTGCATTCAGGGCAAACCGTTCTCCCGACTTCCCTTGGCATTGGGTCAGGGCTGAATCCGGCAGAGCAGGATTTCCTTCCTAGAATCCTAGAACAGGTTTAGGGTTTAGGGGTTTAGGGTTTAGGGTTTAGGGGTTTAGGGTTTAGGGTTTGGGATTTCGGGTTCGGGTGTAGGGTTTAGGGTTAAGGGGCAATTTCACTATTCTGCTTAGTACTGTTAGTCTGATTCTACTAGTGTATTGCCTGCATGATCAGTTTAAGTACAAGAATGATTAGTGACACCTCTTATTAAGAGAGCAGGAACGAGGCGCTGTACCAGGCAGGGAGAATTGAAACATCACTAATGTAGGGGCCAAACAAATTAGATCGGGGTTCTGGGGGTTCCTTGCTATACATATAGTAGACTGTACAAAACTCTATTCTAGTTACTAAGGCCCCTATGTAAAGCCTTAAGTAGCCCTTATAGAACCCTTTAAGGAACCCTTTAAAGAAACCCTATGAAAACCTATTCGACTTCTTAAGGCCCCTACGTGAAGCATCTGTCGGGCGGCATCTTTCTGGGCTGTCAGGCGCCAGGTCTTCGGTGGTATCGGAGCTTCCCCCCACAAACAAAGAAGAAAAAAATACGAAATCCCGTTGCCACGAATTCATATTAATATTAGTATTCTTCTTCTTAATAATAGTCTTATTCTTAATATTACTATTATTAATATCGCAGTCATGGACACAGAACATAACTTATAACCGACTCACTTAGTTCCCTGGGCCTATAAGTAGGGCTTGTGGTTTCGGGTTTCTAGCACAAAAGAAAGATCCCCATCTCCAAAATAGTGGACTAAGTGTCGTTGGCTTGACGCGTTTCAAACCCTAAGCCCTAAACCCCTGTATTCACTTCTAAACCTCCTCAACCCCTAAATCCTCTCAACCCCTAAATCCTCTCAACCCCCAAATCCACTCAACCCCCAAATCCTCTCAACCCCTAAATCCTCTCAACCCCTCAATCCTCTCAACCCCTAAACCCCAAACCCTGAACCCAGAACTCACCAAAATCCTAACATCGCCTCCGAAGGCACGCAGCGCAGTGAGGCCTAAAGCCAATCCTGGCATGCTTGTCAAGGTTCGTGGTTTAGGGTTTAGGGTTTAGGGTTTAGGGTTTAGGGTTTAGGGTTTAGGGTTTAGGGTTGTGGATTAGGGGAGCTGTACGGCTGCAGGCACACTGAATGGCGTTGCAACGGATTTTCTAGCTAGCAGTACCTTATGTGCAAACTCAGTTCTACGTACCCATGTCTTTCAAGCAATGCTATAACTGCCCCGAACTTGATTCTCCACTAAGATGTTCCGGTGCCCCAAGGTCATGTTGCGTGGGACACTGTCAGGAGGATTCCAGATGGTCAGCTGACCTTACATCCTACAAGAAAGGCCTTAATACTTAGAATGGGGTTTTGAGGTACATTCTGCTATAATTCCCCCCAAAAAATAGTATTGGTAATTAGTTATGCCGAAACCCTAAACCCTAAACTTAGGCCCCTACCTAGATCCCCCAACTACCCTCTCATAAGCCTGAATCACCACAATTAAGGACCATAAGGGCTCTATTTAAGGGCCCTTGGCTGGGGGGTCCTGGTACAGTATGCCCGAAACAGCGGCCCTTAGTATTGGTATTTATTTAAGCCGAAACCCTAAACGCTCAACCCTAAACCCTGAACTTAGGCCCCTCTAAACCCAAATCCCTAAAGCCCTAAACCCTAAACCCTAAACCCTAACTAAAGCTTAAACCCTACACCATAATCTCTGGGTCAAGGCGAGTCAAGGGCTGTTCAGGGTCTACGCGTGCTGATGGTTAAGCTTTTCCGGATACCAAAGATTGAAAAAGTAGTGAGTGTCTCTCTCTCCCTATATATATATATATACATACATATATATATATATATATATATATGTATGTTTGTTTNNAACCCTAAACCCTAAGCCCTCAGATGTGGTATCCCTTCTACCGGGAAACAGCGGCCCTCATCTTGCCTGCGATATGTCGGGGCAGCTCATACCGACCTTCTCTTGCGGAGGACTGCCTGGGCAAGGCGGCGCACGGCAGAAGTCGGTATTTAGGGTTTAGGGTTTAGG